GATTTCGAGTGCGATCGCCTAAGGTGATGATGGTACATTCAAAATAATATCGCGGAGAATTGCCGCTGTCAATGATAACTTTGGTGTGCGGAATAAAAGCCACATAGTTACCATACCGGCGTGGTCTTTACTCAAATATAATTTGAATTTCTGCTCTTATCAATTAGTTCTTATTCTCATGAAAAGTTTATAGATCTGTGAGAGCAAACTGATGATCGTTCTATAATTTTCTAGGTTCGTTGGGTCATTTTTCTTATTATAATGATGGCGTTTTCCCATCCTGCTGGAATTGTTCCTTCTAGTAGGCATCTATTGAATAGATTTCTGGGAGTATGTTATCTTCGCCTGGGGCTTTGTTGTTTTTGATCTATCCTATTGCGTTCTCCACCTCCTACCTTCAGCGTTGCCATTTTTTTATTGCATTTGCAAGTTTTTCGTTTTCTTTTATAATGTTCTCGTTGGTGATATTTGCCCTGTATAAGTATTTGTAATCTATCTGTTATGATGTCATTGTTTTCGTTTTTCAATTTTATCATTTCGTTGCTTCGTCTGTTTCTTTTCAGTACTGTTATCCCTGTGTTTTTCTCAATTTAGTTCTTTGACGCGTTCCGTTTAAAAATTTCTTATCTCTTGCTTTGCCATTTTCCTTGTTATATTTATCTCTGCATTCCATAGTAAATACTTACCTCTTTTGCTGTTTTGTCTGTTAATGAGCTCTCTACTTTTTTTTCACTAGACGTTTTGTAACTGCTGAACTTGTCCACTTTTTTGGTTATTTTTGTCATTACACTGTTTGATGTTTAGGGCTAGGATCACGACAAGTAGAATTCCACCAGAATTCTACTTTCATAACGTCAGGTTGCCTAGCAACCGTCATCATCGCCTGTACTGTACGCGATAAATAGGTCGCGGGTGACGTCATGAAAGTAGAATTCTACTTGTCGTGATCCCAGCCCAGAATATTCTGAGTTATTTCCTCCATTTATGTCGTGGATTGTTTTGTTTTCTGTTTTTTAGTCTTTCGATGTTTTCCCTCTTGGTACTATACGTTGCCTCGTTCTTACATCCCTTATTGCTGGTGTCAAGTTTATGACTTCTGGCTCTTTCTAGCTCACTATACTGTTAATAAGACTTTACATCTGACCATTCTATGAGGACTTCCTGTCCTGAAGTCTCTTAAATACCTACATCTACGTCTTATTGTATGATGTGTTTGTGTTGCCATTTGAACATTTGAACTTAGGTAGGTACCCATCTCCAATTAGGCAATTCAATTATCCAAACCAAGGATGTTTGAGAGAGGTAGCTTGCCTGATAACTTTATGACGTCATCTGGGGTGCCTCAACATGCAAATCTCCATGAGGCACCCCACATGCGTCATCAAGTTACCCTTTACCAGGCAACCTTAACTTTAGGAATCTTGAATCCAAACCCCGGGAGATTCAAGATGGCGTGGCAGCCACACCTGGACCAAAAGACACAAAAAAAATATGTAGTTTCTGCCCGACTTAATAGCCGTACTCATAACTGCGAAATTCGCACTTTTTTGACATTGCTTCGACAAATTGACGTTTTATGCGTGAATCAAACGTCAAATTGTCGAAGCAATGTCAAAAAAGTGCGAATTTCGCAGTTATGAGTACTAGGCTTTAGGGCGGGTATTATAAAACTATATTTTGACACATAGCAAAATGTTAACTTGTGGAATTACTATGGAGAGTAACGTCATTACAGAAATTAACTTCTAACTTAACTGTCAAAATAGTTTTATAATACCACCCTTAATAGTTTACGTACCTAGTAAACAAAGATTTTATTGAATAATCAGAATCAAAGCTGCAAACAAAACTCGGAAGTAAAATAATTGAAACGTGCATAAAAACACACATTCAAATCTAACTTGCTGGCCGCCACTCCATATTGAATTTTTCGTTTTGACAGATGCATATTTGCGGCATACCTACAGTCTTTCCTTTTCAAGGAAGTTTTCAGCATTTTCCCTTTGCTAGTGCTTGTTCCTAGTTCGAATTTTTCGATAGATTTCTCTGATTTCTCCTTTATTTAGCTGTGCGTTGAAATCTTCTCCAATTATAAGGTTTGTGCCAACACGTCAAAAACCATCCCATGAACGGTTTCGAAATCACTCTGTATACGAATTTCGGGTTCTGCACACAAATTTTTCGCTTTGCGCAGAATCGTGACGGTACATTGTACGGTTTCTTGATGTGTTGGAACAAAGTTATTGTATATTATGTTTCTCTATTTTCTTGTAGGAATTTTGACAAATCCTCATGTACTGCATCTACCTCTTTGCCTTCGCAGGTTGAAGTTGGGGCATAGACTTGGATGAACTTTATGCTTGTAGTTTTGTTGATTTGTATCGTTACTAGAGATTACTATTTTCGTTGAGATACGGCTTTTATTGTTCTTAGCTTTGAGAACTAGTAGTACTCCTCCTCCTCCTATAATACTGACAGTGTCATTTCTTTTATAAAAGAAATATGTGACCTGTTGTTAGTGTTTACGCATTCTCCTTTGCGTCTGATGATTTCAGATATTCCGACGATATTCCACTTTATCTTATCTAATTCGATTAACCGTTCTTTGTTGCTGATGGATCTTGCAAGTTGTATTATACATGTGTCCCGCTTAAGGACTGACCACCCTTCTAAAAAAATTATTTTTGAACCGATTCAATTCATTTTTTTTTTGACTTATATCTACTCAAATTTGGCACTTATTAGGCTCATAATTTTATTTCTGCGGCTGTACTGGTGTACAGGGTGTCCACATTTATAGGCTCAAATTTCAATAAGTACTATTAGGATTTTTTTTAGTAAAAATCTAAAAGCAAATTCTTGTTTAGAATGGTCTGAAATCCAAATGTACTAATTTTTGTTTCAATATGATACAGGGTGATCACAACAAATTTTCAAAATTTAATGGACCCAAACCGGAAAAATGTCATATTTTTAAATCTACTAATAGTTGTATTCCTTTCGCTCCGATGTTAGTTGCACCCGATTTGAAAGGAAAAAATTGTATTCCTTTCAAGAGTTTGAAACACTCGAGCTACTCGCTCGGGTGTTCAGTCGTCCCCGATTTGCAGGGAACAGATGCGTGGTGCAACAAACACTTTTCGAAAGGAAAAAGTGCGTGAAGCCCCGGAGCTGTTCCAGAGCTCCTCTGTGAAAGGAATACAACTATCATGTACCGGAAACAAATCAAAAATATTAGAGAGATTTTGAGCCACATAAATTTTGAAATACGTTATACGCTAAACGATAAACTGAGCAAGCGCAGTCTTTGAAAAATAGCGGATGACATTTAGCCTTTTTTAGTTTTTGAAGCCAAAACTTGTGAAGGACGTTATACGCTAAACGTTAATGAAAATTTGTGGTTAGGATTTTGATTTTGTGTAACTAACATCAAATTTTATGTTGTCTGTTGTTTATGTTAGAATTGTTAGGTATTCATTTGTATTTGGTTTTGTGTTATTGTGCACTGCACTTCATGGATAACATTGAAAATATAAAAGGACGTCAAAATGCGGAAAAGATGTTAAAGTTGTTCCGTTTATTTCCACATAATTAGCGTAGTACGTTACCGCTTATTAAGCGGACCGGTTATTTTTTCACTATTGCGCATGAGCAAAATAACCGATAACGTATAACGTTGATCAAATAGGTGGCTCAAAATCTCTCTATTCTGACCACGTGTCTATATACCCACTCTCACCCTTTTTTTTTTCGAACGCACTCCAGTTGATGAATCTGATCGCCCGTGAGGCTCTATTTGCTCCAAGTGCAATCTGTTACGCACCTCCTGTGGAGGTCATGCGATACCACCGGCGTATCCAGCCCATGCGTCTGGGGGGGGGGGGGTAATCAGCCCATTTTTTTCCGGGTGCCACGCCCAAAAACATTTACTTTGAGCCTTCAAAAGATTTTTTTCCACGAGAGTGAGGAAAATTAAACAGTGCGGAAAATCGATTTTCTCGCACGGTGCGGCGAAATTTTTTCTGCACGGATATCGGTGCGGAAAAATCTTTTCCGCGTGGCTGTCAAAAAAAAATCAATAAATCACTACAACTTATGTAGGTATATGTACTTATTTCCGCACGCCTGTAGAAAAACTATTGTACCTAACACATGCGGAAAATCTGTTTTCCGAACTCGGCTGCTTTACCGAATTCCGCTATGCGTCTTTCGGTGAATGACAGACTCGTGCGGAAAATGCATTTTCCGCACTTGTTAGGTAAATATATTCTGTACTACCAACAAATAACGAAACCGCACTCTGATAGCGAATTCCATTTTCCATTGCAATAAGGGTAAGTGCGCACTGAGTGTATTCGTATCTTATTCTACCAGCTTGTATAAGAAAGAGATAAAAATACATTTTTTTTGCACTGATTTTACCAATAGAATTTGCTATGAGATTCGCCTAAAATTTTTTAATTATAGCGAATTCTATTGGTAGAATTAATACAAAAAATGTATTTATCTCTTTCTTATGCAAGCTAGTAGAGAAAGATAGGAATACACTCAGTGTGCACTATACCTTTGAATAGAGTTTGCTATAAATGGTATGCGGGCAGTGCAGACACTGTGCAAACTAGAAAACAAGTTAGGGCCAGTTGCTGAAAAGTAAAAATATAAAAAATTGATTTATTTGTAAGGTATAGGGTACATTTTTTTCGTCCATCGCAACGATCTTGGGGTGGTAATTACCCCCCCCCACCCTTGTATACGCCGGTGTGCGATACCGGTGCAATTAGGAAATTTGTCGTTTTAGTTTTGATATTTTTGGAGGTTTTCATAATCAGAGTTCCGTGCTACGTGCGCGACTTTTTTTTTGAAAATAAAATTCCCCAGACTAGCGTGAAAGGGCGCTTCCTTTTATTCTCCAATGGATGAATCCATCGGTGAATAAAAGGCTGAGTTCGGCACTCCACCGAGCGGAACGGTATGCGCATGGATATCGTGACGTCATACGCGGTCATAAGCCCAACGCATAAGAAAACACTCTGAGAGCTAAATGAACATGATCTTATCGTTTCGCGCGCACTCAGAGTTTACATAAAATGTAAAGCCGAACTCAGCCAAAAGAAAGCGCCCAAAGTCGAGTCGACATAAGTCATAGGTGTCAAGTGTCAATGGCCAAAGTCAAAACTGGGAAAATTACAAAAAAAAAAAAATGGCAGGAAAATTGATAGAGGAAAAAAAACATATTTTGCGTGTTTGAGAAAAGAATAAATATTTTCTCTAGGTACATACCCTAAGTACCTACATGTCCATATTTTTTCTAGTGCTGTCATGTTTTTATAATCTCATTTTTGTTGCTCTTGTGAATAGCTTTTTTCAAGGCTAAATTCAAATAATAACAAAACAATTTTCGTTATTATCGGCGATCGATGATTTATGGCATTTCCGAGAAGTAGCTAACTTAAAATGTAAGATAAAAAATTTACAATATACCTATTGTTCCACCTGAAATAGGTGGATTATTACATACTTTCAAAACACTTTTTGTTTTAGCAAATCTCTACCTACATCATGAATCCAAGCAGTGGGGCTTCGCCTCCAAGTGGACCACAAAACAGTGTTCCTACTACAAATCCTGATACACCAATTCTTACAGCACCATCTTCAGCAAAAAGTACACCAGCTCATTTGAAACATGACGATAAGGACAAAAAATCAAAGATTTTACTTAACATTTTACCAAAACTACCATCGACGGATTCTCTGAGTAATAGTCCTGGACCTGGAAGTCCTGGTAAGTTGTAGGAACCTAATTAGGAAATAATAATTAATAATAATAATTCAATAATTGTAAGCATCACATTATCATTAAGGTGTATATTCATAGCGCTTGTCGCCATATCCATATGGTTCTGGCAAGAGAACCAAGCAAATTTGGCACTACAACAGTTTTTCAGAGCCAACACAAGTTACAGTGTCTATATTTCTGATTTTTTTGTAGTGATGCAAATAAGAGTAAAACCAAATTAGTCAATGACATTCAAGTAGGTAGGTACCCACTCACTGATAAAATTCTAAAAAATTGTACCTATCCTGCCATTAATGTAACACTGTTCTTACATAATAAATGATTTATTTATATATTTAAAATTATGGGCTGCCGAGACAGACACTAATATAATGCTCATTGATTTTGATCATTTTATAAGTTTTGGACATGAAGACAGAATGGAAAGATTTTCCAGTTTTAATGGAAATTTTACTGTCTGCAGACTTAGGACACTCAAAGAGCAATTGAACATTTAAATTGTGAGGTAGAGCAGGCAAAATATTATGTACCTACCTATTGCCAAGATTTTTTTTGGTCAGTCATTATTTATTCAGAGACAGGAAAGTGAAAATAAATGGACATCCAGTACACAGAGGCGGCGCGCAAAGGCACATAGAACCATTTATGAGCTTTTTAAGTGAATAGACATTCTTTTTCACTATCTGTTTGGTTCTGAATAGGGTTCAACTATTGTTAATAATACTGAAATTATTTCAATTCAAAAATCAGTTCATTATCCTAAAATTTTGCTTAAAATGGTCTCTTGTTTCAGGGATATCTAATGTAGATCGGCTTGAAGCTACAGTTAATGCAGACGGAGTAATATCATCTCAATACCTCTTGATAGAATAACAATTTTAATAATTTTAGTTGTACTCACCAGAATCATGTTCCAAATTGATGAGGAAGGAATCCTATAAAGCCCAAAGAAAAAATTATCGTCAAGAGAAAAAACGAGTTACTAATGAATTGTTAAGTTCCCTTAAAGACCCTATTGTTGTTCTAGCGGATTGGTTAAAAATAAGAGGAACATTGAAGTCTTGGACAAAGCTATGGTGTGTTTTAAAACCAGGATTGCTTGTGCTTTATAAGAGCCCGAAGGCTAAGGTAAATTGCTGTAGATTTAAGCTAAAAAAAACTTGGCTTTAGTTGAAAAAAAAAAAAAACTATATTAGCTTTATCAAAACCTAAATTTTAGCAAACACAAATCAAAATATATAGTCAAGTAACAAAGCTCATGTTTTTAAATTTACTAAATTAAGTTTGACAAAGACACCCGTTTTGCAACATGTTACTTACAGGACACGATTCTACCTTCTACTTTTCAAAAGAGATGATTATTGAAGATATTTGCGACACTAGTGCTTAGTACTACAGCTAGATGACTATAGCTAATTCTTGTTTTTTTCATAATTTGTTTGTGTTGCATTTTTACAACTTGAAAATTTGATACAGTTTGGTTGTTGCATTTGTGTCTCTCCATGCAGTATTTTAATATACAGGGTGACTGGTAAGTGGACGTATTCCTTTGAGGAGATGACATTAGAGCCTATTTGCTACCGATTAAACACTATTTACCTCTATACCATTCTTAACGGTTTTCGCGATATTTTCATTTTTCTAATTTTTATAAAATTCACTACCTTATGAGGCAAATATTTAAAATTAACGAAAATAATAAGGACCTTTCTGAAAGTCGTGTTTTAAATTTTAAGCTGACACACTGACAAAAATATCAGCATTGAAAATTATCGAAACACTAATGTTAACTATTGAGTTATTGCGGTTTAAACTTAACTTTTCTTGTTAAGTTTCTAACTAATGACTTATTTAACCCTAAAAATATCGAAAATTTCATAGTACTTCAAACGTACAAATAATTGGCAAAAGTACTCCATTTTATTGTCTCCAAGATAAGGTACATTATTTCAGAATTAGCTTTTTGCTTTCTTGTTAAATAAATTATTTTTATTTTAAGGAGAGACGATATAATTTTCAACAGAATTCTAATTTATACCTGTTTTGGATATCAAGTGTTGCAATAAAAATTTTATCAAATTTTTTAGTAGCTAATAGTAATAGTTTTTAGTAAAGAAGTAATTATTATTTTCTGCTTGAAAATTTTGAAATTTTCATAATAAATTACTGGCACTCTATGGCCAAGCATTGTTGAATGCATTCTCTTTCAAATAGTTCACAATTGGCACCTAATTTTTTCGTTCCATAATAAAACAATAATTACCATTTGAAAAAATGTATTTCCTATCATAATAAAAAAAACAACATTCTCAAAATGAAATGGAAAAACTTTTTGATACAATTTAATCAATAACTCATTAATTTTCAAAATGACTAACCCCATTCCTTATGCAATTACGAGCCCGTCTTCGTATTTCTGTCCTGGTTACTCGATTTGAAAAGTTCTGTCGCAATATCGCAACAGGAGTTAAATCAGGGCTCCTAACAGGCCATGGTATGGGTCCACCTCTTCCAATCCATCTATTCGGAATCCTTTGGTCTAAGAGTGCCCTTATTGTTAGACGATAGTGTGCAGGACATCCGTCAAGCTGGAAGATCATCTGTTTGCCTGTTCGCTAAAGGGACATCTTGTAGTAGCTCATACAAGTTGTTACGTGAAAATTCTTCATAATTTTCACCGTTAAGGTTATCAGGTAAAAAATCAAAATTTGTTATTCCTTCTCTAATATTGTAGCATCCTCAACATCCGAATTCAGAATAAATCTGCAGAACTGAATTCTGCGAATTAATGGTTTCTTTATGCTGAAAAATTTCGAAAACTTCATAAAGTGTGTTTTTTTTTAAAAGATAATTCCCCAAGTCAAAAATTTAGTAACTATGTTGGCAACACAAGCCTTTTCTACATGAAAAATTTGAAAGCATTGACAATTTTACATTGTATTGCCAACATAATGTCAGTTTGACTTTTATCTTTAAAAAAAAAAACGCACTTTAGTCCACCAAACGTACAAATGATTGTTAAAAATTCTCTATTTTATTGTCTTTAAAATAAGGTTGTTTTATTGTTGATTTCATAATTTTCATTTGTAGGAGTAACGGTTTTATTCTCGCATTTAGAAGAATTGTAAGTTCAGACTAAGTAAGCAACATTATTTTCCAGTCTTTTCTTATTGCAATTTGGTGTGATACTCGCCAATCATGTTGATATTTATCAACAGGTATACCATACGCATTTTTCCATTTTTTGAATTAATAATAATAAACAATAACAAAATTTAGTTTCAGTTTTTCGTCCAAAGTTTTGATTTAAATAGTTCTGATGATAGTCTTTCGCTGTTAACTTCTATCTAAAATGGCAACGTTTAGCTATGCTGAATATGCGGACATTTTATTTATTTATGGTTTTTCCAATGGAAATGCAGCTGAAGCTCAAAGAGAATATGTACGTCGCTTCCCAAATAGGCGCATTCCACATGTTAGTGTGTTTGGTGCAACTTACCGTCGCATTTCAGAATCTGGCAGCCTTCAACGAGTAGAACGCGTAGGAGCTCCTCCTGCAGACGTTAACATTGATGGTGAAATTTTGAGACTACTTGAAGAAGGTCCAACAACAAGCACCAGAAAAATTTCCCGACAGCTGGGTGTTTCACAATGGAAGGTCTGGTCAGTGATTCATCAAAATGGTCTTCACCCATTTCATCACACTCCTGTGCAAGGACTAGACGAGGGTGATCCGGCGCGCAGAGTTCAATTCTGCAGATTTATTCTCCATGCGGATATTGAGGATGCTTCATTTTTAACAAGAATTTTATGGACCGATGAATCAAAATTTAGCAGAGAAGGAATAACAAATTTTCATAATTTGCACTACTGGGCCGAAGATAATCCGCATCAGAAGAAGCAAGTTAGTTTCCAAAGAAAATTTAGTGTCAATGTATGGATGGGAGTTATCGCCAATAATTTAATTGGACCTCATTTTTTACCGGATAACCTTAACGGTGAAAATTATGAAGAATTTTTACGTAACAACTTGTATGAGCTACTAGAAAATGTCCCTCTAGCGAACAGGCAAGAGATGATCTTCCAGCATGACGGATGTCCTGCACATTATCGTCTTACAATACGGGAACTCTTAGAGCAAAGGTTTCCGAATAGATGGATTGGAAGGGGTGGACCCATTCCATGGCCTGCTAGGAGCCCTGATTTAACTCCATTAGATTTTTATGTATGGGGGCACCTGAAAGAAATCGTATATGCCACGGAGGTAAATACGCGCGAAGAACTGATTGAAAGGATACAGAATGGGGTTGCGATATTGCGACAGAACTTTTCAAATCGAGTAACCAGGACAGAAGTAAGAAGACGGGCTCGTGATTGCATAAGGAATGGGGGTAGTCATTTTGAAAATTAATTACATCACTTGTTGGAAAAGTTTTTTCATTTAATTTTGAGAATGTTGTTTTTTTTTTTATTAGGAGAATGTTGTTTTTTTTTTATTATAAGGTAGGAAATACATTTTTTCAAATGGTAAATATTGTTTTTTTTTCAAAGATAAAAGTCACACTTACATTATGTTGGCGATACAATGTAAAATTGTCAATGCTTTCAAATTTTTTATCTAGAAAGAGCTTGTGTTGCCAACATTGGTAGTGAATTTTTGACTTGGGAATTATCTTCAAAAAAGAAACAGACTTTATTTGGAAGAGAGTGCATTCAAGAATGCTTGGCAATAAAGTGCCAGTAATTTATTATGCAAATTTCAAAATTTTCAAGCAGAAAATAGTAATTACTTCTTCTTTACTAATAACTATTACTATTAGCTAGTAAAAAAATTGATAAAATTTTTATTGCAACACTTGATATCCAAAACAGGTATAAATTAGAATTCTGTTGAAAATTATATCGTCTCTCCTTAAAATAAAAATAATTTATTTAACAATAAAGCAAAAAGCTAATTCTGAAATAATGTACCTTATCTTGGAGACAATAAAATGGAGTACTTTTGCCAATTATTTGTACGTTTGAAGTACTATGAAATTTTCGATATTTTTAGGGTTAAATAAGTCATTAGTTAGAAACTTAACAAGAAAAGTTAAGTTTAAACCGCAATAACTCAATAGTTAACATTAGTGTTTCGATAATTTTCAATGCTGATATTTTTGTCAGTGTGTCAGCTTAAAATTTAAAACACGACTTTCAGAAAGGTCCTTGTTATTTTCGTTAATTTTAAATATTTGCCTCATAAGGTAGTGAATTTTATAAAAATTAGAAAAATGAAAATATCGCGAAAACCGTTAAGAATGGTATAGAGGTAAATAGTGTTTAATCGGTAGCAAATAGGCTCTAATGTCATCTCCTCAAAGGAATACGTCCACTTACCAGTCACCCTGTATATGGTGTCATTGATACAAAAATAAAGTATCACTTTAGTCACCTATTGTAATTATTATTTAGGCACTTCTGAATGTCTATAATTTGAAGTCTATTATTTCCATCATTATTTATTTTCAGAGCAGCCACTGGGTGGGAACAGTACTTTTAAATTTTTGCAAAGTTATAGAAAGGCCAAGCAAGAAAGATGGATTTTGTTTTAAATTATACAATCCGTTGGACCAAACAATTTGGGCGCCTAGAGGCCCTGAAAATGAAACTATTGGTAAGTCAGACAAATAATTAAATTTTAAATGGATCAAAAACTATCATGGATAAGGATTTTTCAGACTAACTAAAGCCATTATAAAAAATCTACACTTTTGTATTATAAGTTGTGTTTTTGATTAACAAATAAAAAAATACCTGTTTTAGGGGCTGTTGTACAACCTCTACCCAGCTCATATTTGATATTTAGGGCCCCCAGCCAAGTTTCCGGAACGTGTTGGTTAGACGCATTGGAAATATCTATTCGGAATGATGGAGCACTTGTCAGATCAGTTAGCAATAAATCAACATCTGGAAGCACAACCCATGAAACACAGTGGAATGAGACTGATTATGAAAAGCACTTTGTGCATGGTAACCTTTTTAGTTAAAAGCGTCAATTAATTATTTTGTGGTCTGTTATAGATTTGGATAATATAAGTCAAGCTGACAATGCTGCTCAAATAAGTACTGGAGAGTTAGATGTAAGCGAATCCGATTCAGAAATCTCCCTTAAAGAAGGAGATTTCGATGCTGACCCGCTCGAAACCCCATATGTTCCAAATATGGAAGAGGAGTTTGGAGATGTGGGTGCTCAGGTCAGTTGTGCTGAGTTGCCATAAAAAAAAACATAAGAAACTTCTTTTCAGGTTGAAGAATTAGCTGAAGAGCACAAATCCCTAATTTGGTATTTAGTGAAGCAAGTGCGTCCTGGTATGGACTTAAGCAAAGTCGTTCTTCCAACTTTCATTTTAGAGCCAAGATCATTCCTTGATAAATTGTCTGATGCTTATTATCATGTGGATATCTTGAAAAAGTATGGATTCCACATTTAAAGCAGTTTTGTAATGTATTCAAATTATTATTTTTAATTTAGGGCAGTTCTGGAAGATGATGCATTCACAAGAATGAAAGAAGTGGTAAAATGGTATCTGTCAGGATTGTACAAGAAGCCAAAAGGACTACGCAAACCTTATAATCCCATTTTGGGAGAAACTTTCAGATGCTATTGGCTCCACTCCAATGGAAGTAAAACGTTTTATATTGCCGAGCAAGTTTCACATCATCCTCCAGTAAGCAAGTACAAAAAAAATCATAAACAGATAATCAAACATTTAAACATTCTTTTAGGTCTCAGCATTTTACGTAACAAATCGTCAAGAAGGATTTGCAATTAGTGCAAGTATTTTAGCAAGGTCAAAGTTTTATGGAAATTCAACTTCAGCTATTTTGGATGGTACTGCTGTTCTAACTCTCCTACCGCGTGGTGAGGATTATAAGTTAACAGTACCCTATGCTCATTGCAAAGGTATTTTGATGGGCACTCTTACTATGGAGCTTGGTGGGAAAGTCTCTATCAATTGTGAGAAAACTGGTTATTATACTGAAATTGAATTCAAATTAAAGGTACAATTAGTTCAATTTATTATTTCACTTACATTTTTCCCTCGATTTTTCCTAAAATACATCAATGCATTTTTAACCAGAAATAAATTATAGGGTGAAATCAATCTCAGATCCTGTTGACAATTTTATTGGAAAATTTAAATCAACTAGACAAAGAGATGGTAACTTTCAGATTTAGAGTATTTATTCATGTTAATGTTTAATAGAAAACTAAAACAAGTCTATACTAAATGTCCACATACGGAATTATAAATAACATTCATTATAAGATAAAATGACATTAGCAAAACAATTATAAAAAGAGGCTAACAAGACAGGTCACTCTTCTGAAATTCATCCAATGAATAAAATGGTAATCAAGATAGTTTTTATTTGTTCTTTAAATTTTTGTAGCGGAAGATCTCTAAGGGCCTTGAGAAATTTGTTAAAATATGTTACCGCCAGGAAATTTGGCCCATTTTGGCATTTTTTCAATCTAAAGTATGGAGTAGTTGAATTATCTCTGTAGCGTGAATCGTAATTGTGATAGTCACTGTTGGCGTTAGATTTATTGATGTTAGTTTTGACATAAATCACATTCCTTAAAATAAAAACACATGGCATTGTCAAGATCACAAGTCTGACAAAAGCATTCCGACAGTCCTCCCTGTATAACAATGCAACTATTACCCTTATAGCTCTGTGTTGCAGAGCAACAATCCTATGCGCATTGGCCGCCTGCCCCCCTACAATCATACCGTAATAGAGAAATGAATGGCAAAGAGCAAAGTATGCAGTTACTTGCTGCTGTCGGGTAATTTTATTTCTGGATGAAATAAACCATTTATAGCACTACCATTATCATTACTGATCATAAAAAGATGTAAAAAAAACATATTTTGGATTAGACCTGGGATTAGAAAACTATTTATAATATTTTTTTTTCAAAATCTTAATAATTATACTTAATAATGTTTCGGTCTCCGGGTTTACTAAAACTCTTCACAAACAGTAACAACTTTTATTAAACTAATTGAAAATCGGTTCTCCGGATCTATCTAGAGAAACATAGGGGTTTTTTTTTGCCTCATATAATTAAATAGTTTTAAGTACATTATTATGTTTATAATCATGAAACTGTTAACTATTATTGAATAAATTGAAATTGAAATAAATATGATAGCATTCCCAGAAAACTCGCGTTGCCCGACGCACACAAGTAATTTCTTATTAGAATCCTGGCCGGGTTGAATGTACCTTCTAACAAGCATAATTCAAATCAAAATCAAAATCAAAATAAGCTTTATTATCCAGAAATATGTATCTCACTGACAAAGCAATTTCCTAATTCTAGAATTACACTAAGTACATGTCATAATATTATTAAAGAATAAAAAAACAAAAATAAAATCACAAAAAAAAACAAACTAAATTCACCAAAATCTTTATCCAATCACCACTATGGATGGTGCGGACATGTAGCCATTAACATGTAGTGTATAAAAACATAACCATAAAATACAAAGTATAAAACATAAAATATTGTGTTAAGGTGCTAAAGTTTGCCTAATCTCAACTCTATTGGAATACAAACTTCTTCGTTCAACTGATCTTCCTTTTAGATCCTCAAGATCCAGACACATTTAACAATTCAAATCAATAATTCCTAACCCAATCTGGTCCTACTGAAACCTGTAGTGGAACTTGCCAACTTCCTAGTAGTCATCCAGTTTTAGTGGTTGTCACTTTTGCATTAGATATCGAAATACGCAAATGATTTTGAGTTTTCTTACCCGAATTTTAAGTGGACTTTATTAACTTTGGCGACGACACCCTTTAGCTATCTATACCTGGCAAAGTTCAGTGAGTCCATAAATTCCTGAAATTCACATAAAACAGAAAACCCAATTTACAAGATTCAAAATTTCAAAACATTTTAAAAATGCCTTTATTTTTTCCCAAATTGGATGAAAAAAATAGTGATTGAGTTGTGGAAGGAAACATTGCAGTTCCTTGAAGATAAAAATTTTGTATGCAATGCCGCCCAGAAGGTCTTTTTGGGCTTTGCTCAAACACACTCATTTCTCGGTACACAACATTAATAACTATCATTGATCTTTAAAAATTTTAGTCATTTTTGGGAGGTTCGGAACAAACAAATTGTATCTCTGGACGTTTGAAATTAGGCAAAGAAACCTTAGCCACTCTAGAAGGTTATTGGGATGGTACAATTCATATAAAAGATAAAAGGACAGGGGAAGTTCAAGTACTATTCTCTTCAACACCGACTATAAGGAAACAGAGGCTTATCAGACATACAGTACACTTGGACAATCAGGCTGAGAATGAGTCTGAAAAACTATGGCTACATGTTTCTTCTGCCATAATACGTGATGACATGAATGCTGCTACGGAGGAGAAAACTCTTTTGGAAGAAGCTCAAAGAGGTTGGTTTCTACATTGTAGCAAAAAAAACCATTTTGTATTGTTTTCTTTTCAACAGCTCGATCCAAAGAACGAAAAATCAAATGTGAAGATTGGATACCTGTGCACTTCCAACAGGATCTCCTAAAACAGGATATTGGGTATACAAGCATTCGGATTTGCGGCCTTGGGATCCACGCAATGATCTTTATCAATATGAGAATGATTATAAGATTCTCACAAGAACCAAACATCCAACGCCAATGATCAGAACTGCCAGTATTATTAGTGTGGAACCACAACAGGCAAGTAGAGTTTTTTTTTATACAAATACCTCAACAAATATGAATACCTAGTTAAAAATGCGTATTTATAGAGAAATTCATTGACAAAAAATTGCCTTTACTTGCGTTGGGTTAATTTTCACATGCACTGGTGTATTCCTGGATTTTACTTTGGACCTTGAGTTTTGCTGAATTCCTATATCCAAATGACAGGAGTTGAATGTACACATTTGCCATGAGGGCTTAATTTATCCTGTAAACAGTAACTTGTCTATAACACAAAATTGTGAACTTAAATACAAACCAAACAAAGTACAAGCGTGAGGTATGCACAAACTTGTACACTTGTGTAAATCGACCTTTTTTATCACCTCAACAATGACAAAAAGAGTCAAGTCAGTGTCATATTTAAACCAATCATAACATAAAAACATGTTGCATTTACTTTTGTTCAGCTTTGACATTGACAAAAACTGTCTAGCCTATGTTTTTCAGAAGAGACTTTCTGTTGTTAAGCCTGATTCACACTAGGCAAATTTGAAGTATATATTTTGCCTGTACCAGTTTTATGTTTGGCCAAGTGTACAGCCAAACCATTTGAATTTCTAAATCCACAGTGTCAGTCAGAGAAATAGTTGCTGAATTTCAGAATCCGAATGTTCAGGCGTATTCCATGAATTATGTCCTACTTTCCATTTTATTTGACTGACAAAAGTTATAAGTGCAAATGTTTGCATCTGTGCTACTCAGGACGCCCTACCATTTTGCTATGGTCAAATGGTAATGAAGTTCTTGATAGTTAATCTTCTAAAATTTTATCTTGATTTTGGTATTTTTCTTTGATATTTTGTGTTTTCACATTTAGAAAAATTGGATAATGGTTCGTAGTTAATTTTGCACTTTTAACGTGTTTATAAAAATCATCTTTACATTTTATAAAAAAGTGGTCAATACAAGTCTTCGACTAACCCTGAACCCGTGTTGGTTTATTAATCACACTCGAAAACCCACATTTATTAAATCTAGTCAAGTAGTCTTTTACTGGTGTGGAGTTTGTATTCAATATATTAGCATTGAAGTCTCTAGCCAAAATATATACTCGGTTTGGGTCCTTGAGTATTGGATCACTTTTGAAATCTTCAATACTTGCTGAAGGTGATCTATAAAAACCTAGAATAATCATTATTGTGTAGAGAGACCTTCAGACACTTCCTACTATTTATTTCGACCACAAGGCCATGTTGTAGTACATTTTCCCTAGTCTATATCATGCCTCCATCAAATTTATTATGTGTGCCGTTGTTCCAGAAAACTTTGTAGTTAGGTGTATTGAAATTAATTACATCATGAATAATGTTTGTTTATGAAATAACTTTCACATCAAATTCTTTGCCTGTTGACTCCAGAAAAAACAAATGGTCTAAAAAAAAATTGTAAACACTTCCTGTATTTATGTGTATTATGTTAACATCACTGGTTGGGTTATCAAAATAAGTAATTTGAGAGAGATTATCAAAAATGGTTACCTCACTCAATTTGTTAATGAGACTCCTATTTAATTTAATGCATATTATCCCAGTCACACAGTGACGTAATTTTTACAGTTGACTCATCGTCATTCCTTCTCACAAACACGCTTTTAAGCCACATTTTTTAACAGTTGTTCCTTTCAGTTTTCCAATCTCCATTAGGATTTCTTTTTTGTTGTCATAGTTACTGAATTTTACCAATATTGGTACATCATCTTGCTTGCTTAGTCTATAGCTTTCTTTTATTCAATTTTCATTTATTGACACAATCAAAGAATTACACACCCTCTTTATGATGTTACCTGTGCTTGAATCGGTTTTTTTTGGGACTCTCACTAAAACTATATTATTTAATTTCACTTTCTTTTCCATTTCGTCCAATTTAGTTTCAAGAAGTTGTAATCTCTGCTTTACAGTTACATTTTTCTTTCTGAGACATATATTGCACAAAGTTTTCAATTTCTCCCATAAATGGCTCCAGGAGTCCATTTTCTGGAGAAAATGTGCACATTTTCGCGCAGAAACGGCATCTTTCGAATACTTTTTTGTTCTTATTCGCGACTTTCGCCTGAACGCACAGCTTCTGTGGAAATTGGAGTCACAGACGCCGCAATCTAGCGGAGAAATTACTTTTTTCTTGTAATGTTTGCGCTTTTGTGAGCTTTTTTAAACTCGCTATGTTGTTGTGATGATATAAGCTCAACACTATAATCTGATTTTATATGTAGATACCATATGATCAAGTTGAACTGAGAATTATTTATTTTTTTGTTACTTAGGTGGTAGAATCTCGTGCCTCTGCAAACAATAAGAGGAAACTAGCTACAAAGCAAATATCTTCTGATGTAGATGTAAATGACAGTACAACTGACGAGTGCCATACAGATTCGTCACATGACAGGAAAAAGGAAAAGCTCACTACTAGTATTACGTAAGTAATATCAATATGTATATATTATGTAGAAATATGGCTTTTGAAGGTAGTTGAATAACCCTGTGCATCTTTTTTATAGTATAAAAACTAAATTACAAAACGTTGACCGACGTTTGCAAGAGCTGACCCAAAAAATGAACCAGGTTCAAAAAAATGTCCACCACATGGTAGAAGTAAATCGGAAGCCCAACAACATATCGAATATGTTGAACATATTTGCCATGGTCTTTTGCTTGGGACTTGTTGAAGCCCTTCTCTTTTACATATTCAAAAAATAAAAATTATACTTTATTATCGGTGCAATCGAATGTGATATGAATGTTTAGTAGATAAGGCTTTTTTTGTTATTTTGCTTGTGAAGTTTCTTTGATTTACGTAGATTTTTATAGATTTAATCTTTATTTTTTTGGGTATTTAAATTTAACATTAGGTATCTTGTTGCCAAAAATTTTCACGTTTATCTTATACCATATTTTATACTTTATTTTTTAAGAGAATGTTCCTGATTTCATTAGATTTTTTTTTTCTATTTTAACCCTTATCTAGTGACACGCGGAATCTGAATATTACCAGCGATATGTAGTTGCAAAGGGGCAAACATGCTCAAAATTGAGAAATGCCCTTCAGTGCGGAAACGGTTAAAGACATCTAAGTGAGATTTCCAATCGAAGTTCGAAAAAAAAAAACGAATCCATTACACCATGGTTGATTTTCACCTATCTCCTCTAGAAACAGGCGATTCCTATCAAAAGTGTCCAATCTGGGCTACCCTGTTTTCCAAATACTGAAAAAGGAAAAATTCAAAACAATTGCTTGTTGAACACCCAGTTGTTTATAGAGAAAAAGTCGCACTTTTTTACATCAAAAATGTTGAACATGAACGAGCGAATATACAAGAATAATAGCCATAATTGAAGAAATGCGCAGATCAGGAATAAGGCAAGGCGATTCACTTAGCCCATTAATATTTAACATGATTATGCAAAATACATACTTGCAGACCCACTTAAAAGCAGGCATAGACAGGGCCTCCCGAAATTTAGTCCCGCAAGAAGCATTAGCTGGGATATTTAAATCTCTAAATTACATATTTCTTTTATGGCTGCGTAATTTGCCAGACAACACATCACTGGCTAAGGGTTAATGCAACTTTTTCTAATATATTTTTATCATACACATGTATTTACTACTAGCATGATAGGTTTAAATACACTGAAGTCAACCATGATTCTATGATGAATTTTGTTCCACAATAATGAAATGGGAGACATTGTTTGTCAATTTTTATGTCCTCACTTGTGTAGAAATTACAACAAAAGCAATAAGGTAGTACAAGGTAATATTGACACAACTGACACAGATTTTTTTGAAAATATAGGATTTTGTCTGGAAATGTGCAAGTCTAAGCTTATGCCATATGCCACTATGATGGGCGTACAGTGGGTAACAATTGCATGTTCAGATTTACTCTTTTTTTTATTATTAAATAAGTTTTAGTTTTTTTCTAAAAATTTGCAAAGTGTCAATGGCCCTCGTCAGGTGGACATAACATTGACACCCTAACTTGCTAAGGTAATATCCAGCTATTTATTTCAGATATCATTAACATAAAAAAAGTTTATTAGGTACCTATATCATGTTTTTTTCATCTTATTTAAAACTTATAATGAAAATTGTTACAATGTTGATACAAAGCGGACAAGATAAAATGTAAATACCAATAAATAGTGATAGCTTTTCCATAATCAAAGAAAGTATATAAATTCCTCTTCTGGCAGAATCAATATATATTTGAACAACCCAGTAGCCATATCGGCCATTCATGAATGAACCCTTTTCTTTTATTCCTAAACATATTGCTGTTACTTCATGACCTTTAGAAACTATTTCGGTTACTTTTAACATAGTATATACTTTATTAGAAACGCATTGCTTGTCTAATAACAATAATTTCTTTGGAATCAATTCTGTAACGTCTACAGCTGTGTTATGACAAATGTCACGATCTTTCTTAATTTCAGATACATCTAAGTCAGATTCATCCTCTATGTATAAACTTCCTGCACTCTCAGAACTGCTTCCAACGTTTTTCTCCGATTGCAGATTTTTGCGGTCTATCTCAATTTATTTGCATTGGTTTGTGATCAATCCAGAATCTTTATACTTAGTGGTAAAACTTTTAGAAAATTTTAGGAAAACTGAGTTTCGTTTCTGCGTTTCTTGTCTTTAATACTAGCAATACTGAGAGCTCCAAGCTTATGTGAGGGAAATATCGATGAGTGGAGAGTGTGCAAGAGTGTATGTTGACATGAGCGAGAGAGAGGGGACCATGGCAATTGGCTGGGCGAGGAAGACGGCTGGAGGACAATGAGAGGGAGAAGGTAGGAAGGTATTTTCTTTGCTTAGGCTACGGTACAGGATAAAATATTCACCAACTAGGGAAAAATAGGACAAATTGTTAAACTTCAGCCGGTAAGCAATAATTTTGATATTCTCTATATTTTTTCCTCGCTAATAAATTTGATTAGTAAAATTTGGATAAACGTTCACGTGGTAAATGTCTTCCTTTTCTTTATCTGGAGATGAATTAAATTTATAAAGTTGAACTTATGAAAAACAGCATAATCGGCTGTCGTCATAACATTACATTCCGAATCCCGAGGTTCCTTGCGCAAGTTTATGGAGTAACTAACTAAATATTGTGAATTAGCTCGATCTTACTCAACTACAGTAAGGGGGTGTAACTCTTCAATCAGACAGGAAAATTGTTGGGTTTGTATGTATTACTGTAGTGAAATTCGTTATACATATATATTAAGTGTTAATTTATTGTAGTTTAAGTATTGTTCAGGAAGTGCTCACCACGTTTTTAGTCAAAAGTATAACTCAGTATTTACCTTATTTATTAAATATAATTATATTGGTCTTGAATTCTCTGTTGTTGATGCAAAATAAAATAAATTGTTAAGATTTGTTGTTCAGGATTCCTTAAACATTCACACACCCTTGGAATCGTCACAGTCTATCAGGTATTCAGTATTTTGGTTGATAACATAAGGAAGGTGGTGGAGGAGTGGCTGAGGAACATTAATGGGACAGAAGAACCGGTGACGGGGCAGGTCATCGCCAATAACCAGGTGGTAGCTGTTGCGGGATATTCGCTGAAAGTGGTAGAATAAGGGGATAAGAGATGTGTGGAATGGGGAAGGGTAACAGGCCGACATACAATCATAGTAAAAGTAAGTGTATGTTTGTGGAAGCGAGGGGAGAACAAGAGGACCGAGGAGTACATGGGCGAGGTAAGGACAAGATAATAGCTCGGCTCTATTCAGCATGCCATGAGGGTTGAAGCAGGAAAGCTAGCGACGAGGCTGATGCCACTAGCGGAGAATAAGAGGAGTTGAATAGGATGTCCCGTGGCTGAGACCGCAAGGGGAGATCAATGCGGAAGCGGTGAACTTGATGAACCTCTGGATCCACCGGGCCTTGGAAGGTAGAACGACGAGTAAAAAAGGGAAAACAAACAGGATACCTATAATATATATCTACATATATAATTTGCTAATGAAGTTTATATGTCTTTCCATTCTGACGTTATTACTTCAGCTAGAATTTCCAAATTTGGAATAGTTGTTCTCTGGGATACTGGCTAGAACCTAACGGAGCCAAATTTTTCAATTTTGATAAAAAAAAAAAAAACTAAGACAAAAAATGGGTTTTATCGCGGAGTTTTCGCGCGTTTTATTTCTGATCCCACGTCGAAGTCGATTCTCATCCACGTTCGTCGCGTCTTCGCACAGAGACAGTGTTGCCAAATAATTCTTTCCAGTTAAAAAACCGGAGAAATTGAAATTGGCCACTAAAAAAAAAGGTATCCATTTTTTTCCAGCTGCCTGGTGTGGAGGAAAAAGATAAATATTCTTCATACTATTTTATTTACATTGCCTCGCAAAGACAGGCCTATCAATAGTATAACTATCATTAGAATAATGACAGAATAACCAGTCTTCATTATTGCAAATGAGTTTAAATCGTATTACAGTAAGATTGGAGGGGTACTGGCTGCAAGTATAACCCCTCCTTGCAATAGGAGCAACAGGATGCTAAGTGAGGCAAATCCATACACAATTTATTCAGCTCTAATCACAAACAACGAAATCATTATGCAAATAAATAGTCTGAAGTAAAAACGCAATCTGTAATCCCATTGATTGGCCAGTTATCCGCCGACCAATAGGATTATAGATTGGTGAATTTATTTTGCAGATAGATAGTTACCAGCAAGTTCATCTGATGTCTCTGATGATGAATAAACCGGGCCCAAAACACATTATTAATTGTATCCTTTGTAGGCCTTTGATACTGTTGACCACCGGGTCCTCCTGGAGGGATTACAAAATGTATAGGTATTCGAGGGACCACAAAAAAATAAGGTCACAATAGCAGACGTGACAAGTGATGCTCTCCGGGTGGAGATTGGTATGTCGCAGGAAACGTTCTTGGGACCACTTCTGTTTAATATCTATATGAATGATGTCTTGTCAGTGTGCCCCACGGGAAAGGTTTTCTGCTTCGCAGATGATAGTGCGTATTAAGAGATGAATCTTGGAATTCAGTAATGCAAAAAGCTGAATTGGCTATTGGGGAATTGAAGGCCTGGACGGCAGTTTACTGTCTCTGAACACTGACAAGACAAAATTCATGACCTTTTGGATTGTCAAAGAATACCTTACCCCAGTTCCAATATTTAAGGGTACACAAGTATGACTATTCGGTGAATTCAAACACATGTTAAGGGTATTGGATGCGCCTCAATGCCAAAATATTTTTTCCTGCGCGAAGCACCTAACGCAGTCTATCATTGTATTCCGCTCCGGTTAATACTCCATAGTGGGAATGAGATGAATGAAACAAGGAATGCATTGCATTCTTAATTTCAACCTAATTTTTTAACAATTATTGAAGTTATATCAACTTTCTTTTTTGCATTCGATTTATAATATAGGGACGAATGGCGCTATCTTTTTAGAAATCCGATAATAGAAACAAGTTCTCGAAAAATTACAAAAATGTAATTTAAACTGAAAAAAAAACATGAAAGTTAATCAATTTATGGTGTTTTTTTTAGTTAGCGCCATTCTTAAGCCGCGTCCACATTAGTAAAAATTTACGTTGTGCGTGGCATTCGGCACAAATTTGTGTGTGCGATACAAATTTATGCAAGTGTGAACCTGTTCGCCGCATACGGACGCACGCAAAAATTTTCACGACATTCACCGCTCGCGATCCGCAGCTTGTCGGTTTTTTTCAAGACATCAAAGGGATTTGCGGCGCAACATCGTTCTAGTGTGCATGCATTTTTTCGCGAACGAAACAAATAACCAAAAAACAAGCAATGCGCACACTGAAATAAAATAGGCACACACGCGTTGAGCAAGAACGCACGGCGCACAACACAAATATTTATGTCGGTCAAGATACCAAACACTACAGCTAAAATTCGAAAACTATCACATAAATTGTATGAACTTCGCAACATTTTGCGCTTGAAAACATTGAAAATAGTTGACTCTTCACTTGTAGAATGTATAATTGGCTATGCTAGAGTGGTACCTATAGGAAAATGCTGGCGAGACCATTCTGTCGGAACTGTTTGTTGCACAAAAATATATATGATAAAAGTACCTCATGCTTTTCAAAAATGGAAGATTCCCTACACAGCAATTATTCCAAGAAAGCAATTCAACCCTAGAACAGCCGGTGGCGACGCGTGACCAGTAGTCTGGGGGGGGTAAATGGTACGGGGGGCTGAGGGAGCGCCCTCCAAAAACGCGCCGCAGGCGAAATTTTACGCAAATTTCAAGGTCATTCACTTTTCCAGAACAATTATTTCATTTGTGAAAAAAATAAAACAAAACAAAAATGTATTTCTTCAATATAGGTATTATGTATTTTCTTTTTGGCGTCGTGATTTTTCTCTTGATAATTCGATCCTGGGGGGGGGTAATTACCCCCAGTACCCCCCCCCCCCCCCCCAACGCAACGCCCCTGAGAACAGCTATACGTCATAAAATCAATAATAAGTTTATGATAAAGTACCCTTATTATAAAAAACCCTTATTATAAAAACAATATTCGGCACCAAATCAATAAAGAATTGCAGCCCGACAGGACATGCTTTTGCCATCAGTTACGCACCATTTACGCTAGCAATATGTAACACTGGCGTTTATAAAGTTATCATATACAGGGTGTTAATGAATAATGGGATCAAACTTCTAGGATAAATAGTCGTCATTAAAACAAAAAAAGTTGATAGAAACATGGATCCGCAAATGCTTAGTCTTTGAGACACAGGGTGTCAAAGTTTGGAAAAAGGTCGTTTTTCTAGCTCAAAAATCTCTTTCCTAATTTTTTTTATACTTGGCAGGTTTGTCTGTGATAACAAAAGGTATCTTTTGACTGTAATATGACTTGATTAATCTAAAAAAAATATGAAAGTTGAAAAAAAATAGTGACGTGCCATTTTTTTTCTACTTTACCAACGTAGTTGCCTTCTGGGGCGCCACTGGAATAATTACGGTAAATCTAATTGAGTCAAACGTCAAATGATACCTTTTGTTTTCACAAACCTGCCAAATTTGAAGAAAATCGACAAAGGGATTTTTGAACAAAAAAAAAACATTTTTTTTTTCAAAGTTTGACACCCTGTATCTCGAAAACTAAGGATTTGCAGATCCGTGTTTCTATCAACTTTTATTTTATTTTAATGACTACTATTTATAGATTTGAAATCCATTGTGCGCTCAAAACAAGAGAGCTTTTCTAGTATTTATAGTATCAATTTAAAAGTCGATATTGAAAACCAAAAACAAACAATTTAAAATCTAACTTATTAGTAAACTTTTCTTATTAGAAAGCAATTTTATTGTTAGATAAGCAATTTTCAATTTAATCCCATTGAATGGCGAAGCTAGATTTAAAATTGATAGTGTCAACTTGCACTTTGATGCACACGTTTTGGGAGAGATATTTATAAATGAAGCAGTGTCAATATTACCCGGCGTTACCATTATGCGAATTACAATGTATATATTAAATATTGATAAAAAGTTTCATGAAAAATAATTGTCTTTTTGATTTAAAAAAATCCTATTTTTTTTTTGGAAAAACTCACTTGTGGTTTAAAATTATATACTTATTATAATAACAAAGACAAAATAATAAGCGCATGTAATCCAGCTTTTGCCAAGTTGTCACAGAAAGAATTGGCAGAAATTATGAGAATCTGGAATATTATGCGCAGTCCCAATCCTTCAATTTTAAGTTACAGTTACATCAGTTTTTTTATTGCTGATTTCGTTAGTCAATGAAAAATAAGAGTCAACACTTGTTTTTTCTTTTTTTTAATAGTCAAAAATTGACGGAGATACAACGCTTTGAAATGGGCTTATGACGTCATAAGGTATAATACTTTATGACGTCGCACATGCTCAGTATATCTATATAACGGGTGTTTAAAAAAAAAACAATCAAATATTGCTTTGATTACGAAAGCGTACGAGGCATTATTGTTTCATTATTGGTCAGGAATTTTGACATGACATTAAAGTTCATTGACAAAATTAAAGAAAAATATTGCTAAGACATACGTTTAAAAACCATAGCAATCTTTGATTGGTTTTTTCTGAAGACCCGATATGTATACAAAACTTAATATTCGTATAACTTCCAGAATAATCGCATTTGGACAAAATAAAAAAACACACGCATCGATTTTTTGTCGATTTCCAACATAACTCCGGACGTACCGAGTAATACGTATCGAAAAATAGAATAGCTATTTCGACAATTTGATACGAATTTCGACTTGACTCGTAAAATAGAATCCGACAGCTGAACAGATTAGACGTGCACACGTAGTAGTAGTATTTTGGTAGGAGAAAGGGTTAATTATCGTTTTTTTTTTAATGATTTCCAGCCAACGCAAATTTATATTAGTTATCCAATCATGAATGACAGCACAGCTCTGGTCCATCCGGTATTCAGTATTTTGATAACATTCTATGACAAGCAACATAACCCAAAAACTATAAACGATGGTTCCTTTATATTTTTAATTAGCTGATTCTACAACCAATTTAATAAATTATCTCTGTTCTTTTCTCCTAGGTTGTTAGGTACCTACTAAGTTCTTGGAGATTATAGGAATAAGTTCAGCGGCTTCGATAGAACCATCGCCATTTCCGGCTGTATCTGAATCATATAATTTGCCATAAAACTTTCAGTTTAGTTCTGAATTTAGCTTTGTTTTGGTTTGAAAAAAGGACGATACGAGAACGGTTTAAAGCAATCGCACAGTTTATCAATCAACAAAGTGACAACGGTTCGGCTATCAAAAATTCTAATAATAAACTGTGCGATTGTTTTGGACCGTTCTGAAGCCGTCCTTTTTTCAAACCAAAACAAAGCTTTTGATTGTACCTACTTTCCTTTTACTGTCAACTTTTGTAGTTTTTCTTATTTCCATTTTACCATGAATGGTTTATGATACAATTTTTAAAAATTAATGTTTCTTCTAGAAACACCAATTTGTACAATTTCTCTTCTTTTTCTTATGCATGGTTTTCCCTTTTTAAAGCCACATTGGGAAGTTCCCTGGAAGTTCCATATGCCGCCTTGGGACACATTGTCACATATTCTTTTCATCTTTTACCAATTTTTTTTTTTTTTTCAAATACATTGTGTTGTAGAAGCATATTGCATCCATCAGACTGTTTCTCCTTCAATTGGATCCAGAGAAATGTCAAACTTACAAGCTAGTTACTAACCCAAAATAACCCAAACCACCGATCGTAACTAAAATGTCAAATGTCAATGTTGACTCCGCATTTATAGAGTCATCTCGATGATATGTAAAGCTTTTTATTTTGTCTTTTAATGTATTGTGATAAAAAAAATAATTTAAGAAAAAAACAACTCGTTAAAATCAATTATGCCTACAAGCAGAACTTTTTTGTGAAAATCTTTGCTTGCGTGAAAAAATATCTACGTACTAGTAAATAATTCCATAATAAAATAAGTTACCTATACTTAATTATTTATTCTGAATTAAATTATGATGTTTTATTGCCTGTATTTTCTATATCCTATTCGTTATGTTATGTGAGACAAACCATGTGTTTGAAAATTGGTAGCTGGATGGCAACCAAAACCAAGTTATTTAATCCAGGTGATTGACCAGCCTAGGTAAGTACAAATAAATAATTTCCTATTTTGCCTCTGTGATCGATTTTATGTAGTTGATAGGCAGATCGATATATGATCCAGCGTCCTGAAGAGTGGCAAATCAGGCCGTTCACGGCGTGTTACTTGGATTTTCCAACAGGTTGGCGGTCGAGCAGGTGAACCTTTTAATAAATGTGTGACAAGCTGCCACTGTTGAGTTTTCAAGTTGTAAGCGCACCATTATATTATAGTTATACTTTAGACTGAAAAATGCGTGAGCGGCCATTCAGGTTTAAATCTTTTTCTCTGGAATTGCTTATAGGCATCCATTCTGCCATTCTGCCTCTTTTTCCATGCTCGAAACATTGCAATGAATCTGTGAGAGAGAATTGGATTATCGATCATTTTTATTGCTCTGCTTTGTACTGCATCTGATAGAGCCAACAGCATGGGCGTCGTTTGGCGGGGGGCAAGAGGGGGCATTTGCCCCCCCCTAGAAATATTCTTTTGGGGCGCGTTCATAGTGGTTTACCCTGGGTAAAACTTAACCAGGTTAAATATTTCACTGGTTGAAAAGGATGCGCTTGGGATGACCAATCCGTGAACGACTAACGCCTGCGCCATAACGAGGTAGGATTTGATTTTGTTTTCCTTTTGTTTACATACGTTGTGTTTCGAATGTTTCGAGATGGATCCGGGAATAATATTTTTTTAAAGTACTATTGAAACTTCTTCAGATTCGCCTGATTCAGAGGAAGAAGTCAGCTATGCTGTAGCACAAGCTGCATGTGCTAGCGCTAGCAGTTTAAGTTCAAGCCTGAAAAAAGGCATATTGAAAGACTGGATAATTTTATGGCAACAATACGCAATTATAGCAATAAGGAGTTTCAGGAAAATTTTGGAGTTTCCAGAGAAGCTTTAAACTGGCTTCCTGGAAAACTTGAAAGCCAGTTGAAGTCAGCAATGTATGGCCCAGAAAGATTACCAACAGTATTGTTTATAAAATTTCAAATATGCTTGTGAAACGCCTGCGCGACAAATTTTACCCATGTCTCAGAGTGGGTTAAAAAGTTGTACAACCAGGTAAACTTATCATGGCTCTGCAGCAAATATTTTAACCGGGTGAATTAAGTAGATCTGTGAACGACTTAACCCTGCAAAAGACGCGCTCGGTGTGCACTCGGTGAGCGTCCGGCGTTCGACTGTGAACGCCGGACGGTTGAATCCTATAAATTTGCATGAAGTAAACCGAAAGTTGAAACTCAACCATCGGTTCAATGCAGGGCCGTAGCCAGGGGCCTTATTCTGTAAAAAACGAACCGTTCGATTCGGTAGAATTTCTTCGATTGTGACGTCATTTTCGGTTTGGTAGCGCGAAAACCAAACCAAAAATGACGTCACAATCGAAGAAATTCTACCGAATCGAACGGTTCGTTCTTACAGAATAAGGCTACTGGGGGGGCATTGGGGGGCAATGCCCTATCTTTTAAATGATGATGCCCTACCTTTAAAAATCAACATGCATTAAGGTTTCCCTAGAAAATTTAAGAATAGATAATGCCTAAAATCGAGTAAGCGAGGATCAATGTTTTCGAAATCGCCTAAGTCGCCCAAATGTAATGAACAAAGTTTGAAGTTTGCACAGAGGAAGTTTTTTTTGTTTTGAAAGAGTACGAATGGCCCAAGGCGGCCGGCGCGGGAATCAGCGCCATTTTATTTACTTGCCAGAGATGTTATTTATTGCAAAGTTGTTTGATAGAGGCGAGAGAGGTAGGTTGCCAGGTAACTTTATGACATCATCTAGGATCTAGGGTGCCTCAACATAATGCAAATCTCTATAAGGTACCTACCGATCAGATGCGTCATTAGGTTACCCATTACCAGACAAACCTGAACCTTGATTTATTGAAAAGTTTGCCTTCGGTAATCGGCGCCATTAGCCCCATTTTGTTTACCTATAAAAAATTTAAGGAGGGGGCAAGTAGGTATGCTCTATGTCAAATTTGTCATGCCCTATCATAAATTTGACTTTAGCTATGGCCCTGTTCAGTATTTTATAATACAAATGATGCGAACAGTGAATTTGTTGCGGAAAAAAATACCATCATTTTTAACTATCGATATCGAATAAGTACGTTGAAATGCTCAAAAAAGGGGCGTGGCACCGAAAAAAATTTCGCCTTCGGCGGTTGCCAGCGGCGCTATTGGAACTGATCTTATTATAGTGCTGCCCCCCCCCCCCCCCTGAGAAACCTCGTAACGACGCCCATGGCCAACAGTATTCTATAAATGATTTGATTTGAGCCTTATAAAGGAGAAGAAGTGGTTCAGAAGTAAAGGATTTTTTTTACACGAAGTAGAAAATAAGTTTTGACCCGACATCCCTAAAACTGGGTTATCATCGACGGAAGCCAAACATGAGATCACGGAAAGCAAGGGTTTGCTGTATAGAGATACAAGATTGATTGTTCCGTACACCTTGCGAAGAGAAATCTTGAATAAATTACATCGCAACAGTCACCATCAGGGTATTAAAAGGGAGAGTTTTCCATCCAATGGAAGTTTAAACACTTAGTATCCTCTCCACGTTACCCACAGAGCAACGGACAACTTTTGAAAATCAAGATCCTTATCTTGCTTTTTTAAACCTAAGAAACACCCCAATATATGGAAAACACTCTCCTGCTATAATATTGTATATCAGACAGCTTTAGAGATTTGTTGCCAAATGTCAATAAAAAGTTTATCAAGGGTATAATGGCCGTTTCCACCAACTATTCTAGGGGAGCCTCAACGATAAGTATTCCCTAACATGACATTTTTACATGGAGAACTGTCAGTTTAGGAAATACTTATCGTTAAGGCTTCCCTGAAATAGTTAGTGGAAACGGCCATTATTAACAGACAATTTTATAATAATTTCATAGATCAGTTTAAGCAATAATAATAACAGATTAATGACAAGCGAGCAAAACCACCATCAGTTTTAAAAAATAATTCTCGCGTTAAAGTTCAGTTCAAAACAGGTCATATTTGGACATATGCTAGAGTCATAAAAAGAGTGGGGACACGGGCATACAAATTGAAGCTCGATGGCGGTACGGTTCTCATTAGGAACAGAAAATTCATTTAGAATGGCAGCTTTCTTAATAATAAAAAAAAAGCCCAGAAGCAAAAAGTTCCAACGGTTTCTCAACAAAAAACAACAGAACAACAGTTCAGCAAAAATTATGCCAGAGTAGGTATGTGAAAACGAACCGACAGAGGAGCTTTTTTGAGACTGAAGGCAGGACAGGGAATAACAGCAGTGTAGAAAGTAACCCTGATATTAATGACAAACCTACTGAAATAGGGAATAAAACAAGCGAGAACTCTGATGATTATTTTGAGTTTAAGCAAAATTGGCATCAACAATACTCTGACGAGACTGTTAACGATAAAGACGCGTCAAATTTAAAAAATTGTAAATATCTTTGTAAAAAAATTGACCAGGAGGGACCGTCAAAAAATACTTGTCCATCCACCAGAACTTCTCGTTCTGGAAGAACCGTAAAAACTAGAGATGTGACCGAAGCCGAATAATTATTCGGTATTCGGCGTTATTTCTGCTATTCGGTATTCGGCCGAATATTCGATTTTCACTACCGAATATTTCATGTTTGGATATTTTAGTGAAATAGGTAAAAAACACTAATTTTTCAACATATTTTTAATTAATATCAATCCAAAAAATAAAAGAAAATGAAAAAACGAACTTCTGGCTTTAAGGAATTCAACAAAGAATATAATAGAAAAATATTAATATGGTAGGTAGAACAATAAGGGGTAGAATAATCAATACTGAAAATCAATGAGTGGTAGGTTACGATGTAGAAATACCAAATGCTTCGCTGTATCAAGTAATAACCGATTCCTTTTACTTCCGCGCGCGAATTTAAATAAATAGCTCTGACATGCTTTAATAACTATTCGGTATTCGACCGAATATTCGGTTCAAATTCTGCCGAATATTCGGTATTCGGTTATTCGGCCAAACTACTATTCGTCACGTCACTAGTAAAAACACCTTCTAAATTTTCAGATTGTGTTGTCTCACGAGATATTGATATCCTCAGCAAGTCGAGTCAAAAAAATGTTATACCATTAATAGGGTGAAATTATGCACTGGTGTAAAGAGATTTGATGATTTCTTAACACGTTTTTATTTCTCTTCTTACATGAGATGTTACTGTGGGATAAACAAGTTTAATGTATGTTTGTAAAAAAACCCATGTATTGTTCTTTACTTAAATGTATGTAAATGTTACAACTTTTACAAGGAAAAACTTTTTTTTTTGGGGAAAAAGATAGGGGGGTAAATTAAAAATATTATGTTAACTCCTTATAAAAATGAAAAAAGTCTTAGTTAGAAACGATTTATATAATGAATAACATTGAAAAAATGACAATGTATTGAGTTTTTGGCTCGGTAACGATTATGAAATTATAAGCATTTATCGAACATTGTTTATATATAATATATATATTTTATATACAGAGTATCTTGACCGGAGAATGTATAAACAATGGGAGTTTCTTGGGGTATCGGTCGATACCGATACCCTAAGAAACTCCCATTGTTTATTGTTTATATATATATAATAAGCATTTTAATTTTAAAGAATTGTCATGACTTAACGCCATTGTTATGGCTTGACGCCTATTGTATGGCTTGGTGCCTAACTTCACACCAGTCAGTTGTCGACTGGAAAATAAGTGTCACTTGAAACCCACACATCGTTTTGATTATTTCGTGTCCGTCCCTTAAATGTTAATTTCAGTAGTAAAATAAAGCAGAACAGCATCGACTAGTTCGTTAAAGCCCCAGCTGCTAATGGTGTCAAGATCAGAGTAGGCGGTTTTTTAGAAGAGAAAGATTCCATCAAGATACTATCGACCGCAAAGCTGTATGTCGGGTTTTTTGTCACATTTAATAAATCATTTTTTAAAATGAGAAACAGTAGTGCTGGGGACAGAATTGATCCTTGCGGAACGCAGTGTATATCAGAAGGCACACCATCTCCCAAGCCAATGAAAAAATTCATTAGGAAGACCATACGATGGAAGTTTGCTGAGGAGATCTTTGTGCCTGATCAAAAGCTTTGCAGATGTTCAATTATAATTCGGGATTCGCTATGTTTATCGAGAGTCGAGTTAGAAATATGACTGACGTACTTAGGTACGCCAGCCTTGTTGATCTTTTAGAACAAAACCCGTACTGTTTGTGAGAGATGAGCGATGAGCGTATTGAGGTATTTAACAAGTTTCAGGTTGACAGCCTTTTCCATTACTTTCGAAAGTACGGATATAAGTGAGATGGTACGTGAGTTTTTTTGCACTTTTTTGGGATGTGCTGCACTCCGGCACATTTCCAGATAGACAGGAAAACGTCCCGACTGTAAGACAGTGAAAACAGTTTGCAAAGATCTGAAACCGATTCTTGTCTGCAAGTTCTGGTGAACTGTCGTCGAGACCACAAGATTGCCCAGTCTTAAAGTTGCAGAAGAATTTTCCTAATAGTTTCAAAATACAACGTTGTCTATGTAAGAACCAATGCGTGGCAGTACTTGTGGCGCTCTGTCATTGCCCTCCATCGCGGAATTGAATGCAAATTGTTTGGCAAAGAGATCTGCTTTTTCCTTCGACGATAATACAATGGAATTATTGTCCTCAACTAACGGAGGAAAAAAAGATGTGAAATTTTTTCCTATGGTTTTAGCGAAAGACCAAAAGGACCTTGATCTACTCGGGCACGAAAGTCGATTTCACACTTGTTGGTTGTGAAACTCCTTGGCCTCTTTGGTTATACGGTTGGAATCATTTCTGATAGTCATAAAGGACGATCGAGTTTGTTCGGATTTGTTTCTACGCCAGGCACGATACGCGGTGTTCTTTTTTGCAACCGCTAAGACATACTGCTTGTTATATTAGGGTTCTCCGGCACGGAATGTTTTATTAGAGGGTATAATGTAAGTCTATACCTGAGGAAATTATTTTGGTAACCTCTTGTGCAGCCTCGGAGGAATCATTGGATTCAAAATAAACATCGGACCACGGAGTTTTAGGCCTTACCAGTCTTCAGTTCCATATAATGCCACACCCTTCGAGGTATTCGAGCAGGGGCTGTGGCCCAATTCTTGAAAAATTACGTATGCGAAATTTGATGTGATCTCGAATACTTTCTATCTAATTTACATTGCTGTCATTCGAATTCGAATCAAATTTCGTATGCAAGAATATTCAAGAATTGACCCCCTGAAGGTATTACAATCGAACTTCGAGCGGAAATCAATTTGTGGTCTGATTTGCCCAAAGGTGCAAACACATCGATCTTGTAAGGATTGGGATAAGTGGTAAGGAACAAATCGAGTAAATTGGCCTGTTGTTGGAATACGTGTATGCTATTCTACCAACTGGGTTAAAGGCCATGTGAAATGGCAAAAACTTCAGCAATCCTTTCAGCATGGGAGTTTGGATGGGTCTCCTGGATAGAATCAAATGAATTTGCCAGAGTTTCAAATAGAAGTTTGTAACTGGGATCGTTGGGTGCAAGATACAGCAGCAAACAAACTTAACCATGTTCGTAGAAGTAATTTTTAGCCAAATAGTGATTAGGTCAAGTTCAAGAACATCCTCTCTGTGGCAAGAGAGCTAACTTGCTCATTGCTTATCGCGTATGAGGTTCATAGCCGGGACATAGGAGATGGATTGGGTTGACAAAAAATTTCACTTGCGTCTCCTTAAGACCAGCATATATGTTGATTTTTGCACTCAAGATGTTAGAGCACTGAGATTAAGTTGGCGTTAATAATTCTGATGTTAGAGAATTCAATTATTAAACTTGATGTAGACACTCCTCGTGGGAGAGGGTATTTGAAGTTTGAACTAGGGAATTTTTGCACGGAGGATGCCCATCATCATTTATAATATAAGCCAGTGAGGATAAAAAATGAAAAATAAGGATGAAAATAAACGAGAGAGCGGAAGCGTTGAAAATCGAAAGTCACGCTCCAGCACCGGACAATTCGAATCGAATTTAAAGGACCAGAATGGAAGCGCGGGGTGGTACTGCCTCGGTCGGAGAAAAGTTCGTCTCTCACTCAAGTGATGTGAGGAAAGATGATAAAAGAAGATGGTCAGGGGTGACCGGATAGGAAAGATAGGAGAAGAAGAGCATTCTCAAGACTAGGCGAAGGAAAGAGTATAGGTACTTCAGCTCGGGTAACTCGGAGTCGCCAGGCCGGTATTGGCTAAAGTAATTTTAATTTATATTTTGTTGGTTGCTCATGCACAAATATAATTTTTTTCTAAAAATACAAGCATAGGCGTTCCAAAATGAATGTTCCTTCTTTTAGCAACCCATAACTTTGAATTTGTGACAATTTAAACCTAAATGATTCAATCAGTAGAGTGTGCACGGCAAAAGTACGCTTGGTCATCTGTCCAGGGTGTTACTGCGTGACGTCTTGATGCTCAGAAATCGCTCAGCAGCTCGCTCCACCGACCATCAACCGAAACTCCCACATACATATTGGAAGCAGAGACTGATCCCAAATTTAAACTTTGGGTTAGTTTGGTTTTGGAATAAATAATAAAAAAACACAGATGGAAATTTTTTGGGTGATAGCATGTGTCCAGCATGTCGAATGACTCGAATGAGATTTTTGTCCAAAGCCATGTCTTCCAAGAACTCGAGGCTCGAGAGTCTCAAGAGTCAAGACCCAAGCACTCGGCACCATTAAGTTTATTCGAAAGTACCGGACTTGTCCGTAGGTGCCCGAGCGCGCTCTAAAAGAACGTCTAACGGTAACAATACTAGTTGGACTTGATACTAAGCGCACACGGTTTTGTCGTAAGCAAGCGTGCTGTTCGTGAATATAAACTGCTTTTGATGGGACTTTTTGTGTTTATTTTACAAACTGTGAATTAAAACGGCTTTAGTTTTTATACTCGGAATAAAGTTAGTTATTGTAGTGACTTTTGGATTCTTTTTTGTGTAACTTCAACAGTTTTGCGCCAAGAAATTTAAATAACATTAAAAGTATGAAATAACAGTGTTTGAGAGTAGGATTTTTGTGTATCCACCGAGAAGCTACGTAATATACAAGGATATTGGTTCATTTAAAAAGTAATTAACAGGTTAGTTTAATTTTAATATTAGTTTAAGTGATAATAAAGCATGAAAGTTTTAAACTCGGATTTAAATGGCTAGCTTAAAGCCAAATATTGCTGAAAGCAAATACTGAAATGTACCTAAACCATTAAATAATTTCTCTTGATATTTGAATTGATTTCCAATTAATAATACGCTTATAATAATTATGCCAATTTACATTACGAATAAGCAAAACTTTCTCTGTATTGTACCCAAAGCGCCAAAGCCCAAGCTAAAGCTACCTACACACTCATTTATAATAATTCTTCACATAACACAATGAAACTTTTAACAACTTCAGTACCTATCCTAATAAAGTAAAATATTTTACGTGCTTACGTCAATTAAATGGTATTTCAATTTATTATTATAGGTATCTACATATTATGTTTTGCTTATTAATTAGAGGTACATACTCTGAAGTGTGGGCTTGCTTATGATTTGTTTATTACATGGTATGTGGTTTATTTGGTACAAAGATTCTATTCTTGTTAAATAAAAGGGTAGGAAGAAACTTGTATGATTATTTAAATGAACGGTTTCTTAAAAAACAAAAAATAATACGGGAATTTTGGAAGCCAAGTATTATGTACACCCCATGGCTTATTGCTCTTCACTTTAGGCCCTATAAACATATTATGGCTTTATACATTCATGATACCAGCCTTTTTTCGTAGTCCAGTGAGAGAAATTATAGGTGCATCCAAAAGATCCAATTGAAATTACAGTTACTTGAAGAACAGTACAAAGGACAATAATTGATTGGAAAAATGGTTATCGTCAATATAGTTCCATAATATTATAGAGACTGCGATTTTTAGTTTTGTCGTATCTTCAATAGGCCAAGCAATGAAGGAAGTTTATCTCAATATAATTAGAAGTTAACATTTTTTGGGGGGATCGGTCCATTTTCATGTGCTAAATAACATCTTAAGTTTGCGACCTTGTACTTTCATAGGGTTTTTAGTTAGGGGTGTTTTTTAGGGGTAATTTATGGTTTATGGAGAACGCTCTTCAAATGGATGGTCCAATAGCAAAAAGCTTCAAATGATTGTTGTAGCTAAAATTTTTTGCTATAAAAAACTCCGCGACAGCACCCCTTTATCTTCTATAGTCTTTTTTTTCTGCAGCGTCTTGATTAGTAGCATGTTTTTGTTCAAGGTCACTGAAACAGCGTTCCGCCTGTTTGCGCGCATTTGGGGCAGCAGCGGCCGAATGCATAATCCGATTTAAATTATTCAAAAAACACATTATTGCTAATGAAATGCACTCTCCGTTGCTTTTTTGTTCGAATTTTTGGCTTGAAAATTAAGCAAGCACGGACTCGCCTAATGTACTAGAAAGTTGTAAATTGCATCGAAAACTACCCCTTTCTTGCATTCACTGTGATTTCTAAACGGGGCCAAATATTTGGTGGCAGTTTTCGACAATCGGTAGCCCATTTATTCCTCTCATAATTCCCTAGCGGATTTTTTTTTTTCGTTAATTACCTACTCAATGACTTATTCGCCTGAACAAGTCGCGCGGAATTTTTCAAAAAGTCAAAAAAAAATCAAATTGTTCAGGCGATTAAGTCATTAAGTAATTAACGAAAAAAAAATTCCGCTGGGGCACTATGAGAGGAATAAAAAGGTTGCCGATTGTCGAAAACTGTCACCAAATATTTGGCCCCGATTGGAAATTACAGTGAATGCAAGAAAGGGGTAGTTTTCGATGCAATTTACAACTTTCTAGCACATTAGGCGAGTCCGTGATCGCTTAATTTTCAAGCCAAAAATTCGAACAAAAAAGCATTGGAGAGTGCATTTCATTAGCAATAATGTAGTATTTGAATAAATAAAATCGGCCGCTGCTGTACCAAATGCGCGCAAACAGACGAAACGCTGATTCAGTGACCTTGAACAAAAACATGCTACTATTCAAGACGCTGCAGAAAAAAAACTATAAAAGATAAAAGGGTGCTGTCCCAGAGTTTTTTTATAGCAAAAAACTTCATCTACAATAATCATATGAAACTTTTTGCTATTGGACCATCCCTTTGAGCAGCGTTCTCCATAAACCGCAAATTACCCCTAAAAAACACCCCTAACTAAAAACCCTATGGAAATACAAGGTCGCAAACGTAATATGTTATTTAGCACATGAAAATGTACCGATCCCCCCAAAAAAATATTAGCTTCTAATTATGTTGAGATAAACCCTCTCTTCAGATCCCCGTTTCTTGGACTACAATGGTTGCATAGGCAATTTATAGTAAAAATAAGGGTTGTTTTTGTGAACCTCCTATTGGCTAATTTTTACTTTCCTCATCGGTAGTAAGATAGTTGCCCGGCTAGTAGTTGTATTCACCTAAAAAAATCGACCTCGAGGCTTTTTCGCATCTATACGTTTTCAGGTCCTTATACAGCGCCCGCGGAAAAGTCTGCACCATATGGGAATTTTTTTTATGCTCATCCTTACTTCAAATCGGTTTTTGGCATAAGGTTCTGCATGACTGAAAACCAAAAAAACACCTAAAATTTTTGACTCGAGACTTGCCTCACACCTGTCAAATGCCATTTGAAAATTTCAAACAAGGAAAAGTGGCATTTTTATGAAAAATATGGAAAAATTTTATAAGAAAATATTGTTCCAAATGACATTTTGAGTCTAATTTGATATTTTTGCTTTGAAAAAAAAAATTTTTTTTTTTATTTTTTTTTTCGAATATCTACGGAAAAATAATATTTTTAGATTTTTTTCGCGACCATTCCTCTAAAACAGTGGTTCCCAAACTTTTTTCTTTTGCGCCCCCTTTCTGAAATCAAGAAGTGGTCGCGCCCCCCTTCCTTCCCCCATTATACAAAAACAGTTTTTTTTTACTTACTGTAACTCGTCTGAACTGGACTTTGGAAGAGGAAGAATGGACATGACAGTGGGCAGCGAGCGTGCACTGTAGCAGTTACTGTATTCCTTTTATACATCGAGTTACACCGAACGTGTCGCTCTAGAGCTCCTCGAAGTCACTCCAAAACACACAATTCAGATATTAGAGAGTTCTCGTGCTGTGCAAATTTCAAATACCGTAACGTTATTTGACAAGTATGACAGTTCTTACAGTATTAGCGTTAGCGGAGTCGCCCGCTACCTAACGGGAGTTAGCGGATGCCTTACCGTAACGCTATGCTATGTCAAAATTAGTTTACGCTCCATTTACGTCTGTAAGAACAAAGAAGAGCAACTTCTAATAATTCCTCGATAAAAAACACCAAGGAAAAATTATTGAAACTCAGGAATCTTCAGGATAAATAAAAGTTGGCAAACAAGCAAAAAAAAGTTGGGTCAGATCACTCAATTCCAGCTGTCAAAATGTAAACAGAATAAGGAATTAGAGGGTTTTTGTGACTTCGTGTCCGAGAACTATAAAATACCATTTAATATACCGTATTGTTAGCATCACCGTATTAGCGTAGCGTCTGAGGCACGAGAACTTTCTATTATCATTATACTTAATATTAACATTACCTAAAAAAGCTTATTGCATCCCCCGCAAATTTGGTGCATCAGGGGAAAAGGGGATGCACTATGAGCGACTCGAGTGCTTTCACGCACTTTTTAAAGGAACGTTCACGCTTTTGACACAAAGCAGCTCCGAGTTACTCAACGGGTAAAAGGAATACAGTAACAGATCGCATGGCAAAGCTGCTTTGGCTTATGTATGCGCTGTTGCAGGATTGTGAACATCTTTTTTTTTTTAAATTTTAACTGATTTTTTATTTTAAAGCTTAAAATTTGTATTAATTGTTTAGAATACTTACGCCCCCCTCAATGTAGCTTCACGCCCCCCCAGGGGGGCGCGCCCCCCAGTTTGGGAACCGCTGCTCTAAAATAATTAGTTTGTATCTGACTAATGGTTTTTCAAATCCTAATAATCTAATTAAGAGTTTAAACATCAAAAAGAAATATTTCTATTAAAATCTTGATACGCCTGATACCCTGAAATATATTTTTTACAAAGCAAAAATATCAAATTAGACTCTAAATATATATCATTTGGAACAATATTTTTTTTTTAAATTTTTTCATATTTTTTATAAAAATGCCACTTTTCCTTGTTTGAAATTTTCAAATGGCATTTGACAGGTGTGAGGCAAGTCTCGAGTCAAAAATTTTAGGTGTTTTTTTGGTTTTCAGTCATGCAGAACCTAATGCCAGAAACCGATTTGAAGTAAGGATGAGCATAAAAAAAATTCCCATATGGTGCAGACTTTTCCGCGGACACTGTAGAATACCTACGACAAAAGACTGAGACCTGAAATTTTTATATTTATCGAAAAAAGGGTGGGATGATTTGCCCGCCCAGCGAAGTTCTGGGTAAAGGCATCGAGCGAAAAAGGCTTTAACCAATTTTTCAATTAATGGACTCGAAAAAGTAGCATGAAATTGTCATGATGAGTTCTGTGTGTTCCTGTCATTGGCATTGTGGTAGGTATAGGTATTTTAATACTTACTAATCAATTCTCAATATGGTAATTGTAGCCACAATACGAATTACATCTTGTCGTAATTTGGATACCTAGGTCTCGTCCCAGGTGCTGGGTTGTTTTAATAATATTTTTGCTCACAACTTCAAGGAAACCGCAAAAAAAGTACCTAAGAAGCAGTAACTTTCAAAATCGGCTCCCATCGCGCAATATTCTTCAGGGTTACAGAAATTGGCAAAAATCGTCTTACTTATTGGGTTAGTTTGGGTTTCTTCTGTGGTCGTCTATCAAAAATAATTATTACAGTAGTTCCTCCAGTTATTCTTAATAAAAAACATGCATGCTGATCATGGGCGCCCGCAGAAAAATATTATGTAGGGGGGGGGGGGGTCAAAATTAATTGAATACATTTTTCATGGATAAAAAAGGGCACTGAGTCGGAAAAATCATCATAAATAAATGTATAAAAAAAACTTAAAACATTCTTACTAAAGTATCTAAAAAATCACCAATTCGGAGAT